ATGCTTTAATAATAATAATAAAAATAAAAATAATATAGATAGATAGATATAGATAGATAATGATGGGATAGGAGAAGTGATGCTTTAATAATAATAATAATAATAATAATAATAATAATAATAATAATAGTAATAATAATATAGATAGATAGATATAGATAATGATGGGATAGGAGAAGTGATGCTTTGGGTCTTCCCAAAGGTCAACAAGCAGGTCATAAATAATAATAATAATAATAATATAGATAGTGGTGATGGGATAGGAGAAGTGATGCTTTAATAATACTAATAATAATAATAATAATAATAATAATAATAATAATAATAGATAGTGATGATGGGATAGGAGAAGTGATGCTTTAATAATACTAATAATAATAATAATAATAATAATAATAATAGATAGTGATGATGGGATAGGAGAAGTGATGCTTTAATAATACTAATAATAATAATAATAATAATAATAATAATAATAATACTAATAATAATGCTGCTGCCTTTGGGCCTGCTGGAGCCAGTCTTGGCGGCCGAGCCTTTCCTTCCTTCCTGGCTTGCCTGTTTGGCTGCCCGGCTGGGCTGGGCTGGGCTCCGGATCTGGGTGGAGAGTGGCTGTGGGGCCCCCTCTGCCCGGCCGGCCGGCCTTGCCCCTTCCTTCCTTCCTTCCTTCCTTGCTTCCTTGCTTCCTTGCTTCCCTTTGCAGACACACAGAGAGAGACGTCCAGGCGCCTAGTCCAAAGAGCCAGCCTTCCCGAGGACCCTTTCGCAAGACCCCCAAAACGCACAGGTAAATTAAAATAGGGGTGGTGGGACACCCCCTTCTCGGCAGGGAAGGACATTCAGGGGACCTGGGGACCCCCACTCTCAAAACCCACCCCAACACCCCTTGAGACCCCCTTTCCCTCTCCAAGGAAGCCCTCCCTGCTCCCCAAACAAAGAAGACGCCTCCTCTATTGCTCCGGCAGCGTTCTCTCCTGACGTTTCGCCCACATCTATGGCTAAAGGTATCCTCAGAGGTTGAGGGGGGTCTGTTGGAAACTAAAGCAACGACCCCAATTTTAAAAAATACAAGGTTACGTCGGGTCGCTGTGAGTTTTCCGGGCTGCCTGGCCATGCTCCGGCAGCATTCTCACCTGACGTTTCACCCACATCTATGGCTAAAGGCATCCTCGGAGGTTGAGGGGGTCTGTTGGAAACTAAGCAATGACCCCAATATCATTTTTTAAAAATATAAGGTTACGTTGGGTCGCTGTGAGTTTTCCAGGCTGCCTGGCCATTTTCCGGCAGCATTCTCTCCTGACGTTTCACCCACATCTATGGTTAAACGCAGAGGTTGAGGGGGTCTGTTGGAAACTAAGCAACTCTGGTCTGTTGGAGGCAAGTGTGAATGTTGTCCCTGGCCAGCTTGATGAGCATTGAATGGCCTTGCAGCTGCAAAGTCAATCAGGGAGGGTCTCCACATAGAGTCCTGTTGGAAATAAAGCAAGTGGAGTTTATATATATACCTGTGATGGGAGGTAAGAAAGAACTCTGGTTTGTTGGACACCTTGATTCGCATTGAGTAGCCTTGCAGCTGCAAAGTCAATCAGGGAGGGTCTCTGCATAGAGGTAGCCTGGCCTTTGTTGCCCGGAGGCACCCTCTGTGGAATGATGTCCAGGGCGGGAGAAAGAACTTTGGTCTGTTGGAGGCAAATGAGAATGTTGTCATTGGCCAGCTTGATTCGCATTGAGTAGCCTTGCAGCTGCAAAGTCAATCAGGGAGGGTCTCTGCATAGAGGTAGCCTGGTCTTTGTTGCCTGGAGGAACCCTCTGTGGAATGATGTCCAGGGTGGGAGAAAGAACTCTGGTCTGTTGGATGCAAGTGGGAATGTTGTCATTGGCCAGCATTGAATAGTCTTGCAGCTGCAAAGCCTGGCTGCTTCCTGTCTGGGGAAATCCTTTTTGGGAGGTGTTAGCTGGTCCTGATTTATTATTATTATTATTATTATTATTATTATTAATAATAATAATAATAATAGAGCATTCCGAACCCCACCATGAGCAACAGAGTTGGTGGTCACTGACCTTGAGTTTGGGAGTTGTAGTTCACCTACATCTAGAGAGTCCAAACAAAGATGGACCTGGACCAAACTTGGCATGGATACTCCATATGCCCAAATATGAACACTGGTGGAGTTTGATGGAAATAGACCTTGCCATTTGGGAGTTGTAGTTGATGGGATTTATAGTTCACATACAGTCAAAGAGCATTCTGAACCCCACCAACAATGGAATTCAACCAAATTTGGAATGCAGAACTCACTTGACCAATAGAAAACACTGTTTTTCCTGGTGGTCTTTGGTGTTGGGAATCTATGAGTGGCGACCCCTCTGACACCCCTCACGACCCCTCCGGTGGTCGCGACCCCCAAGTTGAGAACAGTGCTTTAAGCAATTGCTCTCACGTTTCCTTCTAGGAACGCTGCTGATGTGCCGGAAGCCCCCTTGGCGCCCGAGCCCTCATCCAGGGAATGCCTTTCCTCTCGGTCCGGCGGGGTCCTTGGCTGTCCGGTTGTCCTGAGCCGCCGAGCCGGCCTTTGGGGCGCCCTTTGGCCTTCCTCCGACTGCGATGGCGGCCAAGTGGTTCAAGGAGTTCCCCTCCAACCTGAAGACGGCGGCTTCCGAGCGCGCCAAGCCGGGCAGCGCCAACCTGGGCAAGCTCTGCAGCGCCTCGCGGAAGGGGCCCGGCCCCTCCGAATTGGGGGCCACGTCTTCCTTGAGCGGCGGGAAGAACCGCAAGAACTCGGCCAGCGACCTGGGCAACCTGCGGGCAAGCGTGCCAGGGCCGGGCAAGGAGGGCAAGCTGTCCAGGGACAACCTCCAAGGGCTGCTCCATGCTGCCGCGGGGAAGATGCGCAAGAACTCCCGGGTGGACGGGGCCCCACCGGAGGAGCCCAAGGCCCCCAAAGGCGGAGGCAGCGGTGTCGGGAGTGCCAACTGCGGGACTTACATCAACCGGCTCATCAAAGTGGACGCCCACGACGGGAAGAACTACGCCGGGAACACACCAGTTCCAGAGGCCAAGCCAGAGACGGTAAGACCCACCTTGCGGGTAAGACCCATGGGACATCTAGTCCAATCCCTTTCTCCCAGGCAGGAAAGGCACAATCAAAGCACCCCCGACAGATGGCCATCCAACCTCTTTTGCAAAGCCTCCAAGGAAGGAGTCCCCACCGGACTCCAAAGAAGAGAGTTCTACTGTTGAACAGCACTATCAATCCTTTAAACCGCAGATATAGGGACCCGTTGAGCCCCCGTATCCGCGGCTTAACCGATTCCTTCCAAATCAACACTATCAATCCTTTAAACTGCGGATATAGGGATCCGTTGAGCCTCCGTATCCGCGGCTTAACCGATTCCTTCCGAATCAAGACTATCAGTCCTTTAAACTGCGGATATAGGGACCCGTTGAGCTCTTCTTACAGTGAGAAAGTACTTCCTCCAAGGAAGGAGCTCCCACTGGACTCCGAGGCAGAGAGTTCCATTGCTGAACAGCTCTTCTTACAGTCAGGAAGGACTTCCTCCAAGGAAGGAGCTTCCACCAGACTCAGAACCAGAGAGTTCCACTGCTGAACAGTTCTTCTTACAGTCAGGAAGGGCTTCTTCCAAGGAAGGAGCTTCCACCAGACTCAGAACCAGAGAGTTCCACTGTTGAACAGCTCTTCTTATAGTCAGGAAGGGCTTCTTCCAAGGAAGGAGCCCCCACTGGAGTCCGAGACAGAGAGTTCCATTGCTGAACAGCTCTTCTTACAGTCAGGAAGGACTTCCTCCAAGGAATAACCTTCCACCAGACAGTGAGGCAGAGAGTTCTACTGTTGAACAGGCCTACTCTAGAATATTTTGGTCTAACCTGGAGATCAGTCCTTTATTTCCTTTCCCCAAAATATTCTTCAACTCCAATTCCCAGTTTTCCAGAACACATCCGGTAACCTTGTTTGCTTCCTCCAATGCCCTTCCTTCCGAGCTTCCTCCTGCTCATCTCTGTCATCAAACACATTGTGTCTTTTACTGACTCCAACTATGAACCTTCTCTTCCTTGAGCCGCAAAGCCCCACTGGCTCGGGCAAGTACTCCAGCACAGAACTGCTTTAAACCGCGGATACGGGGAACCCGTCGAGTCTCCGTATCCGCGGCTTCACCGATTCCTTCCGAAGCAACACTATCTTCTCCCTTGATTAATTTTAATACTAACTGCTATCTTGCTTTTAGCTGAACGGACCCCGGCGCCCCTCAGATCCACCTTTTCTCCATCCAGGCACCACTCGAGGACACACGCACTAGAAAAAGAGGCACATACACCAACCGCGGATACCGGGACCCATCGAGTCTCCGTATCCGCAGCTTAACTGATTCCTTCCGCGGATACAGGACCCATCGAGTCTTCGTATCTGCGGCTTAACTGATTCCTTCCGCGGATACCGGGACCTGTCGAGCCTCCGTATCCGTGGCTTAACTGATTCCTTCCGCGGATACAGGACCTGTCGAGTCTCCATATCCGCGGCTTAACTGATTCCCTCCGCGGATATGGGACCCGCCGAGTCTCCGTATCCGCGGCTTAACTGATTCCCTCCGCGGATATGGGACCCGCTGAGTCTCCGTATCCGTGGCTTAACTGATTCCTTCCGCGGATACGGGACCCGTCGAGTCTCCATATCCGCAGCTTAACTGAATCCTTCCGCGGATACGGGACCCATCGAGTCTCCATATCCGCAGCTTAACTGAATCCTTCCGCGGATACCGGGACCCGTTGAGCCTTCGTATCTGCGGCTTAACCGATTCCTTTCGAAGCAACACTATCTTCTTCCTTGATTAATTTTAAGACTAACTGCTATCCTGCTTTTAGCTGAACGGACCCCTGCGCCCCTCAGATCCACCTTTTCCTCATCCAAGCACCACTCGAGGCGACGCGCACAAGAAAAAGAGGCACATACACCAACCGCGGATACCGGGACCCGTTGAGCCTCCGTATCCGTGGCTTAACCGATTCCTTCCAAAGCAACATTATCAAGTAAAAGAGGCACTTACACCAATGTCATGGGAACCGCGAAAAAGATCTTTGGTTTCCAGAAGTGTATTTTGGTCTAAGCCTCACTTTGGCTCCGTCTTCCTCCCAATTAACCTCCGTGCCACTTCTGGACCGCTGCCCCTTTCATCCTCCTCGGATCCCTTTCCATTCATTTCCCTTTCCTCCAGCGCCAAAGGCTCCTTAATCTCTCCGTTACAGGCTCATCCGCACTCCTCTTGATCCCTGTTAAACCAGCTTTTTGAACCTCGTAAGATGCCTCTTCAGAGGGAATAAGAAGGGCACGGAGCGGACGGGTTTGCAGCCAAGAAAATCTAAAGGCGAGGTTGCGCTGACCCTGCCTGCTTCGCCTTTTCGTGGACCCCAAATGCTGCAAGCGTTGGCACTGGCATTGCACGGGGAAGGAAGCCACAGAATAATTGCAAAGGAAGTCTGGGATGGGTTTTGGAGTTGGAAGCTCTTTGGAGGTCATGGGGCTGAGAGAGTGTCACATTCCCAAGGGATGGGCTTCCATAGCCAAAGAAAGAGGAGGATCATAGAATCCTAGAATCCTAGAGTTGGAAGAGACCTCCTGGGCCATCCGGTCCAACCCCTTTCTGCCAAGAAGCAGGAATATTGCATTCAAATCACCCCTGACAGATGGCCATCCAGCCTCTGTTTAAAACCACTCGAGGCGACACGCACAAGAAAAAGAGGCACAAACACCAACCGCGGATACCGGGACCCGTTGAGCCTCCGTATCCGCGGCTTAACTGATTCCTTCCGAAGGACCCCATTAAATAACAACAACAACAACAACAACAACAACAATAATACGATAATCGCTTGGAGGCCTGGAAAGGTGCCCTTCTCTTTCCAACAGAGGCAAATAGTTGGAAGGGACCCCCCAAAGGGCATCTAGTCCAGCCCCATGTCCACAATTAAAGCATCATCAAAAGATGAACCTCTGTTTGAAGTTGGAAGGGACCCTCAAACGACATCTATTCCAGCCTCATGTCCACAACTAAAGCACTCTTGAATGATGAACTTCTGTTTGAAGATGGAAGGGACCCCCCCAAAGGGCATCTAGTCTATGTCCACTACTAAAGTACTCTTGAAAGATGCCCACTGAAATTCTGCACGAACTTGTTGTTGTTGTTGTTGTTATATTTATTTATACCCTGCTTTATCTCCCCCGAAGGGGACTCAAAGTGGACCCTTTGAAGGGACCCCCAAAGGGCATCTAGCCCAACCTTACGTCCACAACTAAAGCACTCTTGAAAGATGTCTAATTAACTTCTATTTGAAGTTGGAAGGGACCCCCAAAGGGCATCTAGTCCAGCCCCATGTCCACAACTAAAGCTTCTTTGAAAAATGAAATTGTAAGGGACCCACAAAGGGCATCTAGACCAGCCCCATGTCCACAATTATAGCACTCTTGAAAGATGAATCTCTGTTGAAGTTGGAAGGGACCCCCAAAGAGTATCTAGTCCAACCCTATGTCCACAACTAAAGCACTCTTCAAAGATGCCCACTGAAACCCTATCTGAAGGTGAAAGGGACCCCAAAGGGCATCTAGTCCAGCCCCATGTCCACAACTAAAGCACTCTTGAAAGATGTCTAATTAACTTCTATTTGAAGTTGGTAGGGACCCCCAAAGGGCATGTAGTCCAACCCTTTGTCCACAACTAAAGCACTCTTGAAAGATGCCCACTGAACCTCTGTTTGAAGTTGTTGTTGTTGTTGTTGTTGTTGTTGTTATTCTTATTATATATTTATGCTCCACTTTATCCCCCCTGAAGGGGACTCAAAGTGGACCCTCTGAAGAGACCTCCAAAGGGCATCTAGTCCAGCCCCATGTCCACAACTAAAGCACTCTTGAAAGATGCCCAATGAACCTCTATTTGAAGTTGTAAGGGACCCCCAAAGGGCATCTAGTCCAGCCCCATGTCCACAACTAAAGCATCCTTGAAAGATGAACCTATGTTTGAAGTCGGAAGGGACCCCCAAAGGATATCTAGTCCAGCCCCGTGTCCACAACTAAAGCATCCCTGAACGATGAACCTCTGTTTGAAGTCGTAAGGGACCCCCAAAGGGCATCTAGTCCAGCCCCACGTCCACAACTAAAGGCCCCTTGAAAGATGCCTAATTAACTTCTATTTGAAGTTGGAAGGGACCCCGAAAGGGCATCTAGTCCAGCCCCATGTCCACAACTAAAGCTCGCGTTGCTGTGCTCAGCGTCCGATCTTGATCGTATTTATGATTGTGCGACCTTTTGGGAGACCCCTTTGATTGCTCTCAATTCAAACCGAGGTGTCCTTCCGCTTCCTCTTCCTGGAAACGACCAACGGCTTTCCTTCCTTCCTTTTGGGCAGGTCATCATTTTGGAGGATTACGCCGACCCGTTTGATGCCAAGCGGACCAAGGGTCAGCGGGAGGCCGAGCGGCTGGGCGAGAAC